TCTCTCTCTCTCTCTCTCTCTTTATGTATATATATATACGCACCAATAGTCTCGTTGTGTTGGCAACAAGAGAATATCCTTCTCAAAAAACCCACGACTTTCACGGTAAAAAGCGCCAAATGGAGCGGCCTCTTCAAACGGAAACATCCGAATAGAGTAAAAGAAAGGCACATCGTGCAAGCACAATATTTCCATCGGCGGGGTAGGGTAGGCGAATCCTTCGCACCGAGAGAAACCACACGAACGAAGCACGCGATACCCAGACGGTCGCTTTCCAGCAAACCCCCTCCAAAGCAAGTAAAAATAATAACAAGAACGAAGGGCGCACCAGGCGCCCATGTTTCAAAAATCGTGCGTACACCCTAAGACGCACCACAGTACGCCCAAACGGCCAGTACACCGGGGAGTAAAGCAAACAACAACCGAACTACTGTCGTATCAAAGACTCTTACGGCGTAATGGGAAAACATGCCGAGAAACATGGCAACCACACCAGTGACCNCCACAATGGCGCCAAGTTGACGATGAATGAGGCGCAGAGTACAACGCTGAGAGACCGTAAGGAAGTGATCAGCAAGACCATAGTATATAGTAAGGCCAAGTAACACTTCCAGCACCTGCGCAGCTTCACACACACCACCAATTCGCGCATGCCAAGTCCTGAAGTGCAACTTGGACCGTGTGAACTTGCTCCACTCAATCATGATAATGCCAAAGGTACTGAAGAATTTCAAAGTGAGAGCATGTCGGCGATGCGCCTCTGCCACCATAACGCGTCGCGGACCCAAGTTTCGTGAGTGACCACGAATTGTGGCAATGGTGTGCAGAAGTTCCGGGAGAACTCCCATGAATGCAATTGCCATCGATACGGGGTGATACAGGAACACATCACCCCACCACGTCTCACTCGCGTGCAGAACAATAAACACAAAGGCTAGAATGCCAATGATTGAAACAGCCTGACGCACAAGCGTGCAAACATGCGAAAATCTCCTCTCATGATACAGGGGACTACCATGGGTAACAGAGCTAACCACATGCACTTCAGTATTTGGAGTGAGTCTTCGATCCTCAGTCGGGGAGGTCGTCATGAGCCAGCGCAAAGGGACTTGTGTACACCAACTTCTGGTACCTATGTATAGGTGACCAACGAATACAAGAGTAGAAGAGTATAAACACAAATGAATATATGCAGGTGTAGTTATGATTTTGGCGTGAAATTAATGACAACGGTGTGTAAAAGCTCTCTGGATAACCAATTCGGCATTGCTTACATCTAAAGGAGTCCTATACATAACAGGGGCTACACCCTCCTATTTTTCTTCTAAAGAGGTTGTATCGAGCCTCTCTTTGAAATTCTCATTTTCCGCCTTTCAACTTGTTGATAAAACGCGAACCGTCACATCACCACTCTCCGTCGCAACGCTGATGGTGCAGTCCCCAAGCGAACCGGCGGGCTGGAGACATGGTATAACCAGCAAGGAGTCCATAGGCTCCACAACCTGAAGCTCACATTGGACCGTGTGGTGTCGCACATACTGAGAACGAACCACTACTCTATCCGCCGGTATTTGCCCCTTGATTCCTTCACCCTGACGACCATCGTTAGCCAATACAAAAAATACAATGGCGGGATCAGTGTAGCTGCACTCTCTCACCTGCATTCGTATTACAAGTGTGCTGTGCACTTTGGCCGGGTAAATTTCAACCTGGGGATTTCGTGTCACCTCGTAGTAAGAACCGCTTCCCTGCGGCCACGACACGGACACAATCTTCTTTTCCCACACGGGCAACGGCGTAAGCCGTGGCGCTGAGAGTGAACTCCATATCGTAAAGTCGAGTTTTGCACGCGATCCCACCGGATTCACACACACAACGAGTGTATACGTCTGAAACGGAGACACTTCGGCTTCTAGATACACACAGTCATCCACAACGAAGCTACTTGACGCTACAATACTCTCTTCACTCAAAACTCCAACCGACCGTGAAGGTCTGTCCTCCACCATGGTCGACATCACAAGAAACATCCCGAGAGCGACTTCACCACTATCTGACGCACGTACCTTCATAACGAGAACCCCTTTCCTCGTTTCATCATTTCCAAAGGCGCTACCAGAGTCAAAGCTGAGACTGAGTTGCGCGTTATCATCACCAGCGCCATAATCTCCACTGCATTCCACTGTGTCTCCATACGTCATTGTGTTCCAGTGGTACGAGAGCTCTTCCTTCCAAATAATGAACCCAGAACGGCTGAATATGCGCAGGAAGAACTTCCCCATGACTCCACCTGTGTGAGAACTTGGAACCACCCAATAGTTGTCTCCTGCCCGCACAATACCCTCAAATGAAATGGAGTCCGTGACCACGTAACTTGTTGCTGCCACAATCTGCTCTGTATCGTGTTTGTATCGGACAGGAAAATGCTTGTTTTGAAGAATATGTATGGCAAGTGACTCAACATCAGTAGGTGTAAAGCGCGTGTCAGGTACAGCGAGATTAATGAAAAATGGTGATTTTTGAGTTATTTTTAGTCTGTAGTGAGGATTGAGGTGCCAGTGATGTTCAAAACACGACCCACCGGCGCTGTTTTGGTCCCACTCGCCCTCTAAAACACGTTCATTAAATCCATGAAACACATGGCACATATGCACCTCACTCAATGCGGAAATAAAATCGGTGTATGACAACCAGAATGAGACGGACTTGTTAGCCGAGCGTTGCCCGCGGAGTGCGGCATCAACATCCCGGTGTCGGTTCCACAGTGAAGACTCGTCAGACCAGTCACCCTTCCACTGTGCGCTTGCCCAAAGGCTAGAAAGCTCAATAAGCCGCATTCCATATACCTGCTGCACTTGAAGGATACGATACACATGGCGTGGCTCTATGCCAGGAGGTGTATTCCTCGATGAACCGCTCATCGCCACCATCATGGCCCCTGCAGCGTAAAGGTCGAGCATTGTCAACCACCACTCATCGGCCTGGAAACCCTCATGGTGCAAGAATCGCACAATACCCACCCCACCACTTAGGTCACTCAAAGTTTTGGAGCAGTTCGTTTGTCGTTCATTGTTGTTGTCACTATTCATGTTCAGCAAATCGGTTGGAATAAGACTGCGGGCGCGAAGATTGTGGATAATCCTGCTGCTCCTATCTATCCTCTGGGAAGGCATCCGAATCCTTGGGTTGTCAAAAAGAGACATATCAAGTGCAGGATAGCCACCGTGCATCTTTGCAAGAGCCTTTTCGAGAATGCATGGCCAGAAGTACTTCCCGTCCACTGGTTGAGTGAAGATAAGATTGTCCTTGCTGTCCACGGGAAGGAAGTCATCAACGATGACGTACCTCCACGCTCCATCAATGTGAACGCGCAGGCCATACACTCCATGACTTCCACAGTGTGAACGCAGCACCGTGTTTTGGAGAGTCTCCAAATCTGTGGAAACAGCTTCCACACAGGTGAAAATCCACGAGAAAGATGGGCGACAGTTCCGCGGCATCGCCACGTGGTCCACTTCCTCTTCTTCAGGGAACAGCATCGCGGATGGATAAATATCGCACACACGGCGCCAACCAGAGATACCATACTTTGTTGTTGCCCGATGTTGCACGCCCACATCATCGGCAGCGAATTGAGTGTCGTAAAACCACGCATGCTTCTGTTCACAAAGCTGTGCTATGGCTGGGACAGGGTTCTCGTCAAATAGGACCTCGTGGACGCTACATGAGAAAGACAGCAAGGCTGCCTCCACATCATGCATCTTTAGACGTTTTCGCTCGGTACCGTCGCCGTGTGCCGCTGTGCCGTTTAGTGAAGGGTCACCTGTCTTTCCTACACCTGCAGCACGGAACACGGGGGCTGACGAATCCGGTTCGTTGCCGCCATTATGATTGGCATTACAACTAGTCAAAACCTCCTCGGATGGACTGGGGGCCTCCAACCCCCGCTCCGCCGCCTTGTCCTTCTTCTCCCGGTTCCGCTCTAGATGTGCCTGTATCACCGCTAGGAGCGAGGGTCGTATCCCACTCTTGTCAAGTATTATGTACTCAATTACCGGATTAGTCTTGGCGAGCTGCAGAAGTGAAGTTCCTGCAGACATAGTCAATGGGTTATCAGTGAGATTAATCCTCACAACGGATGGGTGCTGCCGCAATGCGAGACAAAGCGCGTCAATGGCGTCGTTATCCAACTGCTGCTCGCGGAGGTCGAGGGTGCGGATATTTCTACAGCAACGGATGATCTCCAGGAGCGGGAGTATGCCCTTTGGGCCTAAGAAGTTCTTGGAGAGGTCAATGAGCGTCAGGCTATTGAACTCGTCAGGGACGTTGGAGAGGACGTGGCATATCGCGGAGTTCTTGCGGCATTGCAGCTCCGTACACTTCCGTTCGTAGATTTCCCGCAGGGAGAGCCCTGCGTAGTAAGAGGCCATGCCACCGGAGAGGAAAGGAAAGAGTGTGAGAGAGTGAGAAAGAAAGACACTATCTTCTCTTCCCCTTGTACTCTTCAATTTAAACCCGAAATATATGGAAAAGAAGAAAATTACAACAGCCAGACAGGCACCAAAACAAGCAAGTGAAGAGCACAGAGACGGAATTGCATTGCGATGAATGGCAGACAACACATCTACGTATTTGCAAAATTAGCGCGAGTATCCTCGCTTTTGTTATTCATATGCTTTCCATACACCAGGGCTATACCGGATACAGCTTCTCAGAAACCTTGCTCGTGGTACGAGCCGGCATGACATGCTCCATTACGCCGCTCCTTTCTATATGCTCTCGCAAGCTTTCCTGTGCTTCGTACATAAGCAGGCGCGATGGGCACTCGCCTACGATGTTCTGCTCATCATCTGTCATATTCTTCACATTCAGATCCACCGGCCGCGTAGAGTCTGAAGGCGCCACATCTCCCAATTGTGGGGAATAGCTCCAGCGGAGCAGTACCTCTTTGCACAATATAAACACGAATACAGCGTAGCAAAATACATTAATGAGGTAGGCGCACACGAGGCCTGGTATAAGGCACAAGGTACGATTTGGTGGGAGACACGGGATAATGTATTTGTGAATGATAATAAGGAGTGCAGTAGGATTGATGAGCCGGAAGAAGATCCACCCCAGAAAGGTAGTATATAGTGCCGCGGCGTACGCCTTTGTGTTACTCATGCCATTTTCTTCCAATGTAGCCCGCGCATGTAGAGGTAGGTTGGTAGCCTCCACCAGCATGAAGCAGGCAAGGATAAACAGACCATAAGGACATGCATTGACAAACATGTAAATTCCATAGGGAATGCTCGCCACAATATGGTGTATGAGGAAGCCAAGCCACTGTGGCGGCTGGTAAATCAAAAGCAGGACAGAGTCGTAGAGAAAATAACCGAGACTAATACATAAGACACCTTGAAGAAATGAAACATCGCCAAGGGGTTCATAGTAGCTTCCCCACTTCATAACAGCAACCCCAATAATCAAGGAGGGTACAACAATAAGGGAATGTACGACGGATATTGCTCGGGAGCACACATCAGACTGGATGGCCAACGACATTCTCCGAAAAGGGCGGTAGTAGCTCGCGAGCAGCGACCAGGCATATAGGAACAGCAGACAAAAGCTGATAAATGCAAAAGCGATAGCGAGAAAGCGCTGACTGACTGAAAGACCCCCTGCACCGTTGCAACAGGCAACGGCTGGGCTTGGCTCACTCCAATCACTAGTGATGTGATCCATTTCAAACACCTCAAGGAAACTACATAAATAAAAGAGTAAAACACACATTAAAAAAAAAACAGGCATCATGAACAGCAAACATTATCAAAGATGATAGCACGAAAAAAAAAAATGAACAGGACACACAAATATTGATATCTATTTGGCGCGTTTGCCTTGTTTTATGCTCTCCCCCAAATCCCACCCGTGTTNCACTAGTGATGTGATCCATTTCAAACACCTCAAGGAAACTACATAAATAAAAGAGTAAAACACACATTAAAAAAAAACAGGCATCATGAACAGCAAACATTATCAAAGATGATAGCACGAAAAAAAAAATGAACAGGACACACAAATATTGATATCTATTTGGCGCGTTTGCCTTGTTTTATGCTCTCCCCCAAATCCCACCCGTGTTGACCGTATGTGCAAAAATGAGTTGGACATGTCTCGCTCGCTTTCCTGCAATGGAAACGACCCCCTTCTCTTTCTTCTATGCGCTGCCCATTGCCCAGCACTTACACATGCTGCTTCTGTTGCTGCCCCCCTTCAGCTATTCCACACCTTTCTATCAGCGTGGCCGGGAGCTACGCAACTTTGACTGTCTTAGCTCGCGCGGCACTCGCCTGAACACGGTAGGCGATGCGTGCGAGCCACGCTGCAAGCCCAACCATCGCTAGGAAGAACACACACGACACGATCCAAAGCCGCCCAAAGTCGCTGTAGCCATGAAACTCCAATGGAACGGCGGTGGCAACCCACAGTGGAATCGTTGCTGCCCACGAAGCGATGACTGCCACAATCTTGAGTAGTCCCGGGCGGTGCGCACCCCCTTTCTCACCCAGCGGCTCACAGAAGAGAAACGCCAGAAATGGGATAAACCACACAAAGTACTGCACTGTGCACACCTTGTTGAACGCGACGAAAAGTACCGTTTGAATGCAGCATGCATGGGCGATGTTTCGGCGCAGCTTAAACGAAACAAAGAAGAGAACGATGGCTTGTGGCACAAACGCGAAAAGGCCAGGTGAGTAGTCAACTCCAACGCCTACATGACGGCGCGCCATATTCAAGTACATGAGCAGCCAGTAAGGGGAGAAGTTGTGGCGGTGATCCTCGCGGTACACGTGGTAAATAAACGCCTCATCCAGGTACTGCTGGCCAAACCACCAGTAACATAGGTAGGTGGGGACTGCGAAGGAAACAACAGCAATGATACCGCAGAGGATCGCCACTGGCGCCACGCGTGCAAATCGCTGTAAAGTGTTAGCAGTTTCAGCCCGCTCCCACAAGCCCAGCACCAACGGGAGAGCGTAGATTACGGGATAAATCTTGAAATGGACAGCAAAGCCCAAAATGGCGGCAGCTTGGTAGTACTTGAATTGCGAAAATTTCGACAGTACGAGGAGGCTCATAAAGGTGATCAGCATATCGCTGTTCCCGCGTGTCGAGACGTTCAAGACGATGGGATTGAAAAGAATGAAAAGTGACACCATCAATTTTGCGCTTTTCTCCGTTGCAAACTTCACCAGGACATCGTAGCAGTAGTACGCAGCACCCAGATCACAGGAGGCGAACAGAACCTTCCCTATTGGATTAGCCACCAGCACGCTCGGCAGCATGAGGACGGCAAGGAGAGGTGTGTAGCGGAACGTCGTGCGGTCGAACGGTGAGCCGCCCCCCCACATCTCCCGCGCACCGTCCACGATGATCATATAGTCGATATCCGTATACTTTACGCGGAAGTAGCGGTCATGAAAATGTGCGTATATGATGAGGAGCAGTCGTATGACGCCGCCCCACCACAAGAGCCTACCAATGGTGACGCGGTCTACCCACGTCGGCTTCTGCTGCTGCATCACAAACTATTGTGATTATCACCTACCACCATCAAGAAACTGCATTGAAAGGGGAAGCCTCACGTGGGAACGTATAAAGCAGGAGGTGGTTGAAGATGCGGAAACAGAAGACTCAAGAGAGACATTTTGAGAGAGAGAGAAATTATTCTGATTCTGAATGAATCCATCGCATTTCCCAAATAAAGTGAAACAACAACGACAACGGTGAAGCAACGAAGAAAAAAAAGACAAATCCTTACATGGACACACATTGCCACACCACAGATAATAACAGCAACGCTACAAAAAGGAAAGTAGTCAATACTCATTACCTCACCAACCGTCGTGTAAAGTACCTTTTTTTTAAATATCCCAAACTGCGTAGAGTAATACTGTCGTTTTGTGTGAAGCCATTTTAGGTATTTTTTTGTATGTCACTCTTTGCAATTCATCGGTACTGAGCGGAGAGCCATTGATGTGCCATTAATGGCGCCGACGCCTCCATTCAGTTCTGCCGAGTCCGCCGTGTTGGACGTGATCGAGTGACTGTCAACACTTAACGCGCCGGCCAGCCAAGACCCGCCGCGGGGTACGCGTCTCAACGCTCCGTTTAAAACGTTTTATTCGTGTGTGTCACGCCTAGACCACTTATGATCGTGCCCCCCTCATTCTCTACCTGCGTGGCTGCCCGCCTATACCTTCATTTCCTATGCAGACGCGGGAGAGGGCTTGGAAAAACAGAGTATTCTACAGCAAAAGCAGTAATATACCCACCGCACCCGCTGAAGCCCGTTTCGTCGACGAGACAGGAGAGAGAAGTGCGTCATCGCATGAGATGCGAGACACAGAAAGAGAGACAAATACACACGCACACAGAGGGAAGGAAACAAAAAAGTATTCACACAGAGATCACAAGATCCATGCGTCTCTGCTGAGTGGCGTTTCTAACATGACAGCACTGGGGAGGTAGAACTCTCTTTGTTGCTGCTATTCGTCGCTGCTGCCGCGCCTCTTAGTCTTGCGCGGACTGGCTCAGGCGCTGAATGACAAGCTCCTGCTCCTGCTCCACCTTGCGGAGGGAGTCATACTCGGCGACATAGCGGTCCAGCTCCGTCTGTTTCTCGCGCAGCCGAACCTGTGCCTCCTGGACTGTGCGGAAGCGTTCCTCCGCCTCGCTCTCTACGATGTTGCGGGACCCGATCGCCTTGAGCTTTTCTTCCTCAATGGCTTTGCCCAGCTGCTCGACAATCGACATGGTTTGGTTCACTATGTTCTTGAAGTCGTCCATGCGGGTGGTGAAGCGCTTCTCCACCTCGATGGTCTTCAGTAGCTGGTCGAACCTCTCCGGATCATACATGCGGATGGCGCCCTGGGCGTCAAACATGACAATTTTATCATCATCCATGATTCGAAAATAAGCAGCACCTTCGTTTCGCTCTTCCCCTTTCTTGCTTTTGTCCTTCCTAAACGACCAAACCAAACTGGGTCCGATAAGCACAGCGAGAGGGAAAGAGATTTACAAAGAAGACGACACACCTTCAGAGAGAGATTCGCCAGGTACTTCAGCCCCTGGCGTTGACTACTCTCTTTAGGTTTTTTTTTTCGTTCCACCTCTCTCTCTCTCTCTCACACCCACACCCACTCCATTAAGGCTATTGTGTGATCAATCGCACGCTGACTTCACCAGCAAAGCCATTAAGAATAAGATGAAAAGTCTATCTTCCTTCTCTTCATTTCCATAACTCATTCCGCATACTCCACGCAGCAATCGACCACATCCTCGAGCACCTGCGGTCGAAGATACAGCTGCTGATTCATGTGATACAATGCAAGGTACCGTTGATCGCGTCGGCGAAGCAGCGCCGCGTGGTTTGCTAGTGCCTGCGGAAGCGCCCACACGCTCCCGCCAATACCATGGAAGTGCAGCGCCTGGGAGAGCCACCGCATCACAGCGGGAACAGAGATATCGCCATTTTCCGATGAGCCTTCTGCTTCTGTTGTGGCGGCGCAGAGGTGCAGCGATTCGGCGACGGGGGCGAGATCGCGTGGGTACCCTTCGGCACTTGTGAGGGTTTGGACCAGAGAAACAGCGGTGCTGTAGACAGATTTCTGCGTCATGAAAATGTGGGAGAGGGGATGGTGCGGCGACATTTCTCCACAGCGATGCAGGAGACCACGGTAGCGCTTCTCCAATGTGCGTCGCAGATTCATAACAAAATCCGAGGAGAACTCCTTCTCCGAGAGACCAAACTCCGTCAAGAAACTTCTCTGCGATGCAAAGAGCAGATTCACATTATCAAGAATAACTGTAGCCTCAATAGGATGCGGACACTGCTGCAGTTGCTCACTGAAAAGGCGCTGTATCCAATCCACCACGAGCTCCTCGCCATGACTTCGCATTGTCCCTCCTGCGCAAGTGTTCACAACGTTCTTCTCCAACACACGAACCACAATGCCGCCTTCGCCAATGACATTAGGTCCCGTGTTGTAGATTGTAAGATTGTGATGCTGCGCGCTACGAATCTCGATCTGAGTCACAGTACTAATGTCGGGCAAGAGAGAGGGAGTTACCATTCGGACAGCCTGATCCTCTTTCCCCTTCGGGAGCGGTGTCCACAACTCCTTTACAATACTTGATGGTTCATTTTGGCCAAGCCGCCCACGGTGCACAATCACACGAACGGGTACCGACACAGATCGGTTAGTGAGCACATCCACAGTTTGAATAACACGCGGCACTACCGCCAGGCAGTACAGCTGTCGGAGGGCTTGCAGGTGTACCTTGTTGTCAGAAGCCGTATCAGGCCAGATGGGGTAAAAAGCCATGATGAGTGCGGCGACGGAGGAGAGGGAGCTGGAGAGCGTCAACTGTCCTCCACCAAGGAACAACAGTCCAGTGGCCATGGAGACGGCAAGGTGATCGCCGTACTTCACCTTGGTGCGCTTGTACAACTTTTGCATGGCGGCGAGGCACTGCGCATCACCTGTTCCAGCCATGATAAGTGCTATTGCCACTGTACACGCTGAGAGACATGCTTGAAATGCACCAGTGGATCGTTGAATAGTCGAAATCACAGCTCCCGTGGTGCCAATATGTCCTCTAATGAAACCGTTCAGCTCGGCAAGCACAACACCCTCCGCATCAGCATCCATCGATCCTGCAAAGCGCATTCCCAAGGCTAGCACAGCACCAGCGAGACAATGACCAAGATTCATCATGAGATAACGGATTTGTGCAGGCACAAGCCCACTCTGCTTCGGTGACTTTGCAAGTCGCAGCAGACATGATGGAACACTACGCCAGAGCCACTCTCTTGTAGGTTCAATATTTGACCACATAATGAGAGAGGACATCATAGACCGAAGAAGACAAAGGTCCGGAGATATGCCCTGCAAACCAACAAGTCGGTTTGGCGGGGCCACCTTTGTTGCCATGGAAGTGTCATCTGTCTGCATGTATATGAAACCCAACGCCACTGTCGCCGCGGGACCGGAGACTGCGATGTTGAAGCGATCACCCTCAAATACTCGGGTGCAGTGACTTCGAAAGGAATCCTTTGCATTCCGTGCCAGAAGTCCTCGCGTCAAGAAGTGTCCGTTGTCAGGGTTGAGCTCGTTGAAAGTCTCCAAACCTTCACACGCTGATGGAACTGCCTCGCGACGTCCTCCTTCCATAAATTTCAACAGACGGTTCTCGACATTCGGCACACCATGTGAACTCCCAATTCCGAGCAAAAGAAGCCCAAGGCCAAAACCAGCTCCCAGCGCATACCCCTCACGATCACGAAAGTGCTCATCTGAGGGAAGACGTGACATTTGAATGAGAAGCATTTCGACCAAGAAGGCGTCGGGTGATTGCTGGTGCAGAATACCAATAGACACCAATGCAGCAGTCTGAACATCCAGAGAAACTTCGATATCTTCCGTAGCAGGGGTGAGTGACTGAACGTGCATTGACAGACAATTAAAGACAATGCTATTGCATGTCCCACGAAGGCTACAGCTTAGACCCAACATTACGGCAATGGTGACTGCCTCTCGCCCAGAGTACTGTGATTGTGGTGACACAAGAAGGGAATATATATCCGTCCTCTGAAGAACCTTCAAGTGACCTAAAATTCCTGCCGCAAGCAGTAACCCAGACCTTGAAGCTGGGCAAACAATGTTGCGTGTCTGATACAGCACCCAATCACGCGTGATGGATTGTTCCTCCTTCACTGGCTCGTGACCCTGAAAATGTGGCAGCGGAAGGAAACGAAGTCCCGCCGCACACCCATTGTGAAATAAGGGCCAGATAAGGTTCTCCGCGGATGCCTCTTCCGAAGTGTTGGTGATTGTGATCCCATCAGTGGTCCGTCCCTCAAGATTGAGACCTGGGATTGGCACGCTGTCACGTACTCTGAAGTTTTGCGTGCAAAGCGTGAACATACCACGCCCAACAGGGAGAGCCGTTGCGCGTATGGAAAGGGTCCTTAATGAGGTGTAGATGTCATCTACACCGTCCACTTGTCTCGGTAGTGCAATAGGTGCAGCAGTGTTCAACATGGTCTGCACAATATCCATGCGTGAGTCACCCCAGTGTTTGGGGAAGTCTGGACGCATAATAACACCGTCATCGTCGTTCAGTGTGGCGCGATACTGCTTCCCAATTGCCCGTTCCTGCGCCGTTCGCAAGACGTCACCTGCTGGGTTCGCATAGCGCGCAAGCGTCGGAGCATGACGCAATCGATCCAATCGACCAATAACCGCATTGAAATCATCGTCCCATGCGTCTTCTGGATGATCTCTAGCGATTGCTAACGCCCGCTCGATCGGCTGCGCCACGCCTACACACAGCTCCGACGACACGAATGTGGGATCAATGCCATACTTTAGAAGCCCTCTACAAAGAAGGTACCACCACCGTGAGGCAAGATTCTGCAGCGTGTGGGGCGCATCAAAGCAGTCAACCAGCATGAAGAACAGGCGATTAGCCATTGAGAGTGGCGAAGTGGAGCTGACGCCCTTGATGGCCGGCCACCCACCGGAGGCCCGCGCCTTTCCTTCAAGCACGCGCTGAAGGATAGTGTACAATACCGGAGGGTCACCATTCAATACAGCGTTTGCAGAAGAGTCAGCGTGGAAGATGAAGTGATCAAGAAGTATATGATCAGGCAGAGCGCGCTGAAAGGCCTGAGAGCATGATGATGTCGACGAAACTACAGAATGATGATTCGCGAGATCAGACGCCTCAGGAACACATAGGCACGTTGAGTAGTAGCGGACGTATTGGACCCATCCCATCACTTGACACAAACGGAGATTTAGCTGCGCTAGCGGCTCGAGCAAAGCCCAGAGACGCTCTTGCAGTTTAAAACTCTCACAAAGGAGGTGCAGAACAAACACACTGAGCCCACACTGATGCTTCGTCCAGAGGTGGTTTACTTGCATGTTGGATGGCATAGCCCCTCGAGTCCCCACCCCCTCGTTGTGACCAGAATTGCCAAGGGTACGATGCTGCAAAAGAGCGGCAGTTAAGAAAAAGGGATCGACGATAATATCACACAGTCGTGCATCATTTTCATCTGTTATGCCATCGCACAATGAGTCCACAACATCCGAACCACCACTGCTAATGCTCCCCGTCATGCTAGCACGCACAATATCCTCAATAAGCTTGATACAACCAGTTCCAAAGTCCAGTACCTTTCCCATACCTTTGCTTTCCCACGCACGACGCAGCAATTCACATTGCAGTGACGCTATACGCTCCGACTCCAGCACTGACTCCAGGGTCTCTAGGATAAAGTGAATAAGTGGATGCTGCTCCTCCAGGAGTGATGGAAAACTCACTACATAGGGCTTGCGATCCTGCTCATGTGCGTTATTTTCTTCCTTCTCCCTATCGCTGCTCGGGCGTGGGGAGGCCTGAAAGGCAACTGTCGAGCCTGCCTGGTAAAGAACTCCGTCAATGACAGTTTTTACTGGCAGAACACTTGCGAGGGACATGGTCGCCATGCTGTTCGACGGTGAAGGATCCTGCAAGATTGTTGGAACGTGGTATAGCGTCACCTCATTAACTGCCGGATGATGACACACCATTATGGGCTGAACCATAGACGCACGCAGGCAGGGGAGCACCATAGGAGGGCAGTTTGTCGACACGGTAAAGAGCAGTTCTAATGCCCCTTTTCCTGTTTGGAGGTTTGGTGTTTTAATAACATGCAATACACCGCGGAGTGCGTCAAAGAGAAACAGCGCCTGCAACGAGGCCTGTGGGTTCTCTGAAACGGTAACAGAGACAGACGCCCCTTTTACGCGTAGCTGTGGCACATGTAAACGTTGTGGCCACCAAATCCACAGCAAGACATCCAGATGCTCTACGACACTGGTCGCCGCGAGACGCACCTCGCTGCCACACGCAGCTACCGCCATCAAACGTCCTTCAAAGGCCTGAAATTGTGTGAGAACAGTTGCATCAATCAATGCATACTTTGACGCCACACTACTGCCGCTGTTGGTGGCGTTGGCCTGAGAGGACGGTGACACTACAGTTGCAGATGCACTAGCAGGAAGTGTCAACATGAGCTCAGCGTCTGCCACAGGCACATACACAGGCCGTATTGTCAGCTGCGAGGCCATCCACCACAAGTCTGCCGCCTGGTGCAAGGTGAAGCCGCACATCTGCAGTACCTTCGGCGACGCCCCACGTGAAGACTGCTGGCAGCCGTGAATCAGCACCCCACGCAGCCCCGGTACCACACTGGTGGGACTGATGTTTTTTAGAACAAAATGCGTGACAGAAGCGGGATGGAGGGTGCTGTACGCGGAGCAGATGATGGATGGCTGACGTGCGGTGTAATGACTAAGGCGGTTCTTTGGCTCATCACGGTGGAATACACATAAATATTCCTGCATTGCCCTGCCGCTAGAGTTATTATTCGATGCACCAAAGCGATTGTCGACGCCACCCTGCATACTTCTGTTCATATCACCCTCCTCATAATTGTCGTCTGGTGATACGCCTGAGGGATGCAAACCGCTCCGCAGATTGGAGGGTGCAGGGAAGCGCGTTAGGAATGCCCACTTCACGTTGCGGTGCGAGGTGGACAGGTGCACTTCCCCGTGGTAAAGCACGGAAACATCCCGCACGTCATCGGCCTTCTTTTCTCCCACTTTTATGGTGAAGACGCTCTGCATGCTGCAGATTATAGTGCGGCACGAATTGCTTTTTGTCTCACGGACCTGCGTCTAATAAGGCCTTTTCTTCTGCAAGAAATTCACAGCAAAAAAAGAAGAGTAGACAGGATAAAGAAAAAACTCCACACCTTCTCGACTATGATTCACATTCCATCACACAGACATTTCGTGCTACCAAGAAAATGAATTGTGATATACTCATTCACGTTTATGTGAGAAGGATAACAAAAACAAAAAAACTCACTCACACCCAAACAAAACTACCACCACCACCACTACCACTACCAACAACAACAGAGATCAAATATACAAAAACGAAAAACAAAGCACTGAGAAAAGCACAAAACAATCTGACACGAAGAAGTGTACGGCGGTCAGGGACTGATGGGAAAAGCAGTACTCTTCGCTTCATGGAATGGCACAACCTGATCCATGTTGTACATACATGTGGGACTCATCAGCGCACTGCTTAGCGGAAGCCACACAGCGTCTGCGAACAGGGCGAAGCGGTGTGAATGAACAGCAGTGGGATCAAACCAAAAAAATTCCGGATAACGTCCACTGGAAGTGGCGTGTGGAAGTATCAGTTCGTGTGTTCGGCTCTTCACACCAATTCCCACACGTTCGGCTGGCAGCCGCGGTGAACGCAGGTTTGAAGAGACGTGTCTGACGGATGAGTTACGCAGCAGAAGATGTCGGATGTGTGCCATCAGTTTTGACAGACAGGGATACAGGGGATCGGTGTCTGCGAATGCTCGCCACTGACCTTCAGTATGCACCCAATGCACACCATGAGAAATGCCACGCACTGGGAGTGGGCGCAGCGTAAAGAAAAAAAACAAGTCTGTGTCCTCTACATAAGCCGCATTCATGACGTTGAAAGCATGACTCTGATCCAGTGCTGAACGGTGACAGAAGGGTATTTCACCGGTCGAGCGCAGCCGTATCCCCTCCTGTCTTCTCCGCTTCTCCGTGATCCAGAATGATGAAGTGAACTTCATCTGACGGGCAAAGTAGAAGAGTTCTCTCTCCAGTTGGTGTGAATAGCGCTCTCCGGTGACGGCACAATAGGCAGCGTAGGAGTGAGGAGGAGGCGCGTTACTTGCTGAATGCCCACGTCGTGCAAACGCCACGGCTGTAGGAAAATTCGACCGACTCACGGGAAACGCCGGGCGCATATGAGAGAAGGACACAACTCTCTCAAAGAATAGGTGATCATCTGGAAGCGTGCACATGCGGAAGACAAGGCCGTTGAAGATTGAGAGGAATTAATAGATGAACATACACGGCACACAGAAACACCTACCAGTCTCATTCACAGAAGCGCATGAACACTGCAAATGGATGAATGCCCCCCCACCCCCCAAAACAACAACAACAACAACAACAGAGCGCATCCAACCAGGTAAATGACACAATTCCTACGCAATTATGCACTTATCCTTAACAAGAGTTCACCACGACTAGCCTTACTTCTTTCATCCAAATAGGTGAAGACTCGGAGCAATATCTTCTCACAGCCCTTAACCTCAGCGTAAGGACATGTGCTACAAAGAGTCACTTGTGCAAACTGCAGCACATCACTAGAGTAACCCTTATATATAGATATATTTGCCTCACGGATCCAACGGCTTTTTTTCTAGCATATCAAGGACTTCATTAAGGTCAACTGGCACCTCATGAAGAGTTGCTCCGTCGCATGCGTCCAACAGATCATGGAGCTCGTCGGCAATGCTCTGCATCTTGTCGTCCTCCGAGGAGTTTGATCCGGCAGCTACAAAGGCTGAGACAGGGGCAAAGTTGTGGCATCGAACAGCCGCTGTGCAAGTGCCACGATCCGCAAGCGCTGCTGCCACTGCACCCATCACAGGTGTTTTAAAGAATACTAAACTATCCGCCATTGCCGTCATAGCGTGCGGAAGAAATATCTCTGGTAGAGGTATCGTAGGGCTCTTGGGACACTTCTGTGAGATGCTTAGCATTCCTGAACCGATGGAGCTTGGAGGAGGTGCTGGCGCGAAGTGCGGTGTTGGCAGAGAGAGCCCACTACCGATTGATTCCGAACCGATCCCTGGAGCACTTCCAATTCGCTGCTCAGCGATATTTTCCACCCTTCTTGACGTCGATACTGTTGAATTGACAGCTGTAAACGTCACCGTCTGGTTTCCAAGGGAAGTGCGCCACAGACAGTTATAGATGACCTTAATGCTCAGAAGCCCCTCCACCTCCCACACCTTCTTCTCACAGAGGTCCTTCTCCAGGTGGGGGAGTTCGTTCATGTCCACAACAAGACACGTCGCCACTTCATGCATATCCATGCCCATTATTTCCACAAATAGTTCGTGAATGCGTAAGTAAGCATAAACAACACGTACTAGAGTCTTCAGAGAATTCTCCTGCTGAAATGTCAGTGAAGTGCCCTGGAACGCACTACTGGCGTAGGGCGGCGGTAACTTGGGAGATGAAAGGTTTGGAACTCTCAAATCCCGGAAGTACCAAATCTCCGCCACAGCACCCTTGACGCAGACAGCGAGTGCCACTTGCGACAGAGACCCTTTAGTGAGCCGTTGTGTCTGTAGAGCTTCCCTGTCAGCCACGTACGGTCCTTCATCTAGCATGCGCAAGTCCCCTAATATGAATGTATTGTCCTCACGCGTGTGACTTCTGCCATTGCGTACGAGACGAAGAAAACTGAGAATTAGAGTATCGTCCATTATTGTCTCCCTCTGTTTCTTTTCACCCCTCACGAGTGTCGTACCTCACTGCAGGCAGAAATATGATGCTTTCTTGCTATCGGCCGTTATATATAAATATAAAAAAAAAAACAGAAACCGAAACACCACCCCCATAAGGGAATACAAGTTGGTGCTGTTGCTCTCAGCACACACAGAGTAAAACCAACATGGGTGAAGTGAGTGAACATTGCGGAGTTAAACCACCTCGGGATGTCTTAACAACACAACAAGACTATTTTCCTTTAAATCGAATTGAAGTCAAAGCCTCCACTGCCCCTCCTCCTTGTTTCTGGTCCTGCTGACCAAATATTCACGGGTGGAGTGCAAGCACGCCGATCAGTGCTATTTTGGGGTCAAATTTGGCGCATCTTTGCCATGTGGCGGCTCGTCTCTCGGCACGTGCCTCTTGGCCATCTCCGCGATGGTCGGCACCATCGGGTAGTCGGGGTCCTCCTCTTCCTCCTTCCCGTCGTGCAGCACAAGGCCACCGCCCACCGCCACCGATGAGAGGAACGCGTCGCCGCAGAGAACGGGGATAAGCTCCCGGTCCCCCGTGGGCACCACGCGGGGAAGTGCGTGCTGTGCATGGGCGCGCAGGTGCAGCTGCAGAGACGAGGCGGCAATATCGCGACGGCACGCCTCTGTCTCCACCTCTGCGGCCCCATCGCCGTAGTGATGCGGGCACAAGCCGCGCGCCACGCACTTGCGGATGGCGTTGACGACACGGATAACATCGTACACGTCTTTCACGCCCGTGTGGGCTCGCACAGCTGCGCGGAAGTCAAAACCATGGGCGTCAATCATGTGCTGCAGGCAGTCCTCTGACTCAATGTCGCACAAGAGGCAGATGGCGGGCTCCACATCCCAGTCTCCCTCCAGTACCTCATCGTCATCGCCGCCGCCGTCGTCGTCCTCATCCCTTCCGTCAACATTACGCCCTCCATCGACATTATCATCCTCACCGTGATCCACTAACTCCGCGGTTTCCCCGACACCCACAGCTGCAACACAGAACGGCGCCAGTGCTGGAATCGTCTCGACGTTCCAATGGGTGTGCTCCTCCCGTTTCACGTGCACCGCCCACATCGCCTTGTCACCGCACTCCTCGCCGCAGACTGGGCAGTGCATTCGCCCATCCTCGCGGGGGAATATCAACCCATGAAGGTGCGCGAGAAAACCATCCAAGTCTGCGACGTCGTCGAAATGTGTGGGGTGAATACCATGCACGGCAACGTAGTGCTCCATGCTGCTGTCCTGCCCCCGAACTCGCTGCTGGCACACTATACAGGTCAAATCCATATTGCTGCTGCGCTGATGGCGCGCTAAGATCGCCTTGCAGGAGGCCTGCAGGCCCTTTAGATCAGACATGCAGTAACACTTTCTCCTTGGGCCTCACTGAATAACAACAATAACCCCAAGATAAAACAAAACAATGTAAGATGTGCTCTGGCTAAGATTTGGCACGCAAAAGTACTTGGGATTTACATTACAGGTAGAAATAGTAATAGATATGAAGGTACAGTGTGTGCGTGTGCGTGCATGCATGTATGTAAAAGGGAGGGCTCAACAGCTGCAGACACAAAACATAGGCATATGGGTCAGCAGAGTGCTGCTTCTTGACTACCCGGAGTCTTGTATCCCTTCCTCTGTTGTGGAAGGAAATGAGACAGACATACACGGATCCATAGTCCCACTTTCATTGTTAGTGTGCCTTGCAACAATTCCCGTCATCGTACTGGGGTGCCCCACTTTAGTTGCGTCAAACGGCAAAGTGAAAGATGAAGAATGAACAGGGTAGGACAGAGGTAAACAATACATCCAACGACGTCTTCAATGTCGCGAAAGCACGTAACAATATACAAAAGTTTCCCTTTCATTGTTGTTGTATGCTCCCCATTTGTCTTTTTCGTTCTTGCTTCTTTCTTTTAGAAAGAGATTCCCATTTGCTGCGTGGTTAAACTTCACGAATAATCAGACCACCTCTTTGCGCATGGGGCTTATACTCCTCTCCATCTGCCGCGTCTCCTCTTTCAGACTGCGGCGCATCTCATCAAGGGGCAGCCGCCACTGCAGCTCGATCTTCTCCCGCTCATCGCGTATGATACTCTTGCGGGCGTCACCGCTGCTGCTGCTGCGGTAGCTCTCCTCAGCGGGCTGCCTGATCGGCGGGGACGCCGACGTCATCAACTTCTGTATTGGTGTGCGTTCACTAATGGCGAGGCCCGCCTCGCGGTCGAAACGCTGCGGGGTCGCGAACTGCGCGGACTGCCGAGCGTCACCGTTCAAGCTCTCACTCCTAATGTCGTAGCTGTGGACACCGTAGCGGCCCCGGCCGCTGTCACCGCTCGCCCCACGCATGTCTGTCTGCTTCTTCCTGTTATCACTACACGACGGTAACGGGCTCGGACTGGCGTGCGTGAAGGCGGGCCGCGGTGCGTAGTGCGCCGGCCCATTGGCGCGCGGCGAGTCGGACGCGTCGCGCCGCGGCGAGACATAGTCTCCTAGGAGCGGTTGGCTTTCGAACGGCTCCGGTATCTCCGCCGGGAGGTCGATGATGTCGGGCTGAAAAAGGTACACCTGACTGTTGTGCAGTAGCTGCGTCGACCGCTCGAGGCGGTCCCAAGTGGAGTGCAGGTCATTGAACACGACGGCGGCGCTGGCAGCGAAGGCGCGGGGGATGGAACGGTGGTGGAAGAGGTTGTTGAAGGCGATGGTGGCGCGGTTGAGGAGTTGCGTCACTGACGGGCCGTAAGAGTCGAATAGGAACCGCAGATTGACCTTTTCCCCATCGCAGTCTGCGGCCACACAGATGGAGTACTGCATTGCTTGCGCGCTTCTTTTTTGTATTTCTGCCTTTCTTGTCGCAACTCGTCCCTTACACCCCTCTTCAAATGCGGCAGTGAGGACGCGGGTGAGGCAGCAGAAGCACAAACAAAACAAAGCAGAAACAGGAAAAGGAAGGTACAATGCCAGGATCCAAACTCTCCCCATAAAAACGAAAACGAGACAGAGTTGAGTATCAAGAGGCCACAAGGGAGCTGTTACATCCTCGTTCCCTCCCCTCTCTCTCTCTCTCTATATATATATATATATATATATATATGTATATATAAGCAAACAAAACATACACGCCTGCACCAGGAAAAGGAGGCGGCAGCATCGCATCCCTCAACTATTTTGCCTCTCACTGCAGCGTTGCCTCGTCAATGACGATGTCCTCCGCAAGCAGATCCTGCACTTGCCTTAGTGCACACATCATGGTTGTGGCGTCGCTTTCGGCTGAGGCGACGCGCTGCAACACCGCCGCCATGGCGCGCCGCCGCTCCTCCATCACGCCAATGCGCGTTGCCAGTACACTAACAGGCCGGTGCTCCTCCCGTACCTCCGCGAGCTGCACCTCCGTGAGTTCACGCGTGGCTACCGCTGCATCACTGGAATCTGGCGACATGCGCAGAGAGGCCATTAATAAGCGACGGATAGTGTTCCGCCTAGCCTCCTCAGCCTCCTGCCGCTTCGCTAGCAGTTCCAACTCCCACTGGTGGTGATGGAGATGGGCCATAACGTCCTTCACCTCCTCCGCAGCAGCCTGCTGCTCCTTGTATGCGATCTGGTATACTGCCAGTTCCACTTCGTTGACACGCTTCTTCTTTTCTAATTCCATGCGGCTGCTGGCGATGCCCACCCGCACATCGTCGAGGTAACGTGTAAGGATAGCGAGCTCCTCTTCACGGCACTTCGCGTGCATCTCACTTATTCCGCGCAGCGCCTCTTCACTTATCTGCTGCCGTGTCTCCCATTCATGCTGCAGCAGGGCATACATGCTACGCTCGTGCTTCACCGCCGTGAGTGCCGCACGGACCTTTTCGTACTCCCACTTGAGCTTCTGCACATGCTGCGTCATATCCTCGCAGCGGACGCGGTCAGACTCTAGTCGGTTATCCATTCCATTCGTCTCTTTGGAGAGACGCACCAGTTCCTCGCGCTCCTCATTTAAAAGTGACTCAGCATCCCGTACCTTCTTCAGGTCCTCAGGGTTCAGCGTGATTATGGCCTGATTGGGAGCGTCAATCCGTGCACTACTGTGGACATTGTCTCTGTTGTCATTTCTGTTGTTCGTGTCATTGTTATGGTTTTGGCTCGACGNCTCCTCTCCTGATTGCGTTTCGGAATCGGGTGCTGGCGGTGACGGACCAGCATAGTCCACTATCCGCTCCTCCGCGTCGACTCCGTAGCGACGCTCGCAATTATTCTTCTTCGTGGTGTGGTGATCGACGTGGCTAGGGCTAGCCGCAGAGTGGGCCTCTTCCACAGAGACAAACTTGGGCGGCGCTGACTGTACGAGCCTCGTCTCGAGCTCATTCAAATGCTGCTGCTCATTATGCAAGCGATGCCGTGTCTGCATTAGCTCGCAGAAAGCTTCATTTACCGCCGGAATTAGTGCGGTCTTCTGCTTCACCTCGTTTCGCGACTTATCGGAGAAGCTGAGGAGCGTGTACTTGGCGGAGCTGAGGTCTGCAATGAGACTGGGAACGTTCGCCAGCAGAACCTCCACGGAGAAGAGGAGGCGGCCCTCGTCATCCATGCGCTCCATTTCCCCCGTAGCCGCCACACACTATCGTATTTGACCAGTTACGTGAGGGGTCCTGCAGCAACACCTTTTTGCCCAAAAGAGCAGAGGAAGAGGAAAAAAAAATAAGATATGGGATATTGCCTACAAAGAGGAGAGACACACTCACACACAGACAGACTTAAAGGAAACCCGATTTCTCTTTACATTTGTGTTATGTTGTTGATCTCTTTTTTTTACACCCCCCAGAGGCATGTACACTGCTGCTGTTACAGAGGCGGTAGAGACTGTGAGAGATGTGCGGCAGAAACGCTCCGTGCATCCATGACCTTATCCAACAACTGACGCAACTCTACAAGAGTGTTCGTGTTGCTTCTTTTTCCCGCAGTCGATGCTACATCTGCGGCCTCATCATCAACCTCCGTAACATCGCGGAGGAGCCACTCACGCGGATCGGCAAAGAACTCCAGACGCTCACCACTGATAGGGTGACGAAACGCCAACACAGCGGCGTGCAAAAGATGCCGGCGCACCCGCAGCCGCGGCGCTGCAGCGCTAATCATATACACACCACCACGCACACGCGCCAGGTACGTGTCGTCCGCAACGGCACGGCACCCGCCCACCACACCCGGTGTTGCCGTCTCGTACAACTTGTCGCCAAGCACAGGGAAACCTAGCTGGGCGCAGTGCAGCCGTATCTGGTGCGTGCGCCCCGTGAGAATATCCACGCACGCGACAGAGACACCAAGCGCCGCGTCGCTGCGAAGGATACGAATGCGCGAGCACGCCGCCCGGCCGAGGCGTCGCGGGTTCTCCTGCACGCTTGCAGGGAAGCATGCCATCTTGAGCTTCTGCAGCTTCGCGTGCTCGCTCGCGCCCGGCTCTGCGCCTTCTGATAGCAGTCCGATGCGGTCACACACGACAAAGACGGCGCCTTCGGGGGCCGCACCGGCGAGAACGGCGATGTACGACTTTGTGACGGACTTCGCCCCCTCCACGAGCGCATCAACCGCCGCAGAGCCTAGCTGCCCGCCAGCAGCATCGGCCAGCTGCAACACACTCGCAGTAAGCCGCTCGGACTGCTGCTCGAACTGCGTTGAGAGGAGCCGCGCGGCGGTGGCCTGCTTCGCCAGCACAACGAGTCCGGATGTCTCCTTGTCGAGACGATGAACGGGGTGATATGCCAACGGAGCAGCAGAAGCCCCTGCCGCATGCTCCTCACTGCTGCGTCTTCGCTTCCGCTCCTCAGTCCCCTTAGAAGTAGTAGTAGTAGTAGTAGCAGTAATGGGGATGGCACTATCTGAAGCTGATGCAGAAGCCACGGCTGCTGTGCTGCACCGCTGCAGGACACCCACCAATGTGTTGCTGGAGTACCGTCCCCCCTCTGCGACGGGGAGATTGCCGTTCTTGACGCACACGAGAATCGCCTCGTCGTCGTGCACGACATCAATGTGTTCATCCACCTCTGGCTCCAGCTCCCGAGGCGGATCGAAGTGTATTTCATCACTCTGTCGCAGCACATAGGCCGCGGACGTTGACACGCCGTCCTTGCTGGTTACCGACAGATGCCCCGCCGAGATGTGCTGCTGCCACGCGTCGCGTGAGAGGTACGAGAAGCGTGTGCAGAGGAAATCTAGAAGCGTCTCCGGCGGAGAGGACTTTGGGCGGCTGTAGCGAATCCTGCGTCCCATCCCTCCGCCACTACAGCAGTGCGCATCGGGTAGTCGACACACAGAAGAAGAAGAAGAAAGAGGAGGAATAGCCAAAAAAAAGAGGAATGATTTGGATAGAGGTGGATAAATGGAAGCGCACAGCAACAGAGCTGCAATGAGGAGAAAGGTGCGCCCTCTCGCTGCGTTCTCTCCGAAAGCCAGAGTAATACTGTATGCACGGGAAAGTGACACGGTGTCAGGCGTCACACGACGGATGGATACGGAAACGAGGGAACAAACCTCCACTGTTACAACAGTGAGGTGAGCACTGACTGTTTTTATCATCAAAAAAAAAATGACAACCAAGAGAGGAGGAGACGACGCAACTGTAAAATATTCATCTAGTTGTCTTGAACCGATTCTATTGATGCTATAAACAGCTGTCGCTCCACGTGCCTCTTTGCTTCTTGGGCTTTGTTGCTGTGATAGTCTACTCCATACACAAACAAAATATCGCGCAAACTCTGCGCTGTGTGCGCACGGAAAGCCCCATCATGACCCTCCGACGACACAACAGGATCGTCGAGAATCATACGGTGCAATTTGTCCTGGCGCGCTAAAAAGCCGTCCTCATCGCCTAAGAGCCCCCTTTCCGGCGGTTCTGCCGGGTCGGTTGCGGGCGGTGGAGCGCGTTCAAGACGCGCGAAGCCTCCCCGCAGAACATCGTAACAACCATATACGTCTTCCTCCGACTTGTGCGGAAGTGGTGGCTTCTCACCACTCAGCTCTACAGAGTTGATTTCCACTCTATCATTCTCTTTTTCCTTCCACCCACGCTGCTGCTGCTGCTTCAGCTTCTGCGCATTGTCGGTATCAAGCATCGACGTCTTTCTTTCCTCAGTACCTTCGAAGTGCACCGCCGTAGACCGCGTGGAATCCAGAAAGTGCTCATTGCAACTGACATTGGATGACAACGACGACGAAAACGACGGCACGCCCCGGCCCCGCTCCCCCCTGGCAGCAGAGGCCTCGGAGAAGGCGCAGTCAACATCTTCGGGTAGTGAAACAATTGGGATTCCCTCACCGCGCAACGGCGCATTCGTGGAAGGGGCACCGCAAAAAGTCGGAGCACTGGATGCATGCCCCGTCCCACCCGAAAGATTGCACCAACGAACACTACCCGGACCTATCAAAGCTTTCTGCCCATCACGTGTAGTAGAACTAGAGCCTCGCTGTGACACTATTTCAGAGAAAGATGCACAGCTGTTGGTTGTTGTGGGAATACGGGAAAAACATGATGAATTGTGTTGCTTTTGCCGTGGCCGTTGCGCCCTGTTGGGGGCCTCGAGACAGTCTTCTCCCACACCACTAATAACTCTGCTCACATCGGATGCATAGACCACGTCCGCCCCATACGTCATAAACCAACGCTGCCACTGCCGCTTCTCCTCCACTGTAGACGTGAGGCACTCGTAACGTCGCACATTTATAGTCTGCGCTATTCGACCAGTGTCTGATGCCGATGCAGCTGATCCAATGCGGTATCGCTGGTTCGGGATATGCGGTTCCACATCCAAGAAAAGCACTGTATCGTTGAGACTCTCTTCCCTCACTGTAGTGTAGCGAAGATCGACACGGCGCGGTATACCTAGTCCGAGGGCCTTTTGAACCCGCAGCAACCACCTGCTACGAAACCGGGAAAAGTAAATCACATGCCTCACGTAGTAGTTCTGCTGGTACGTCGTTCCCCTCTTGTACGTGCTTGGGAGCGCGTAGTACTTCTGGAACCGACCAGTGATCTTTCGAATCAGAAGTACTCCTCGATTTGGCGGCCTCAGCGATGAATCGGTCCACTCGGTTGTTGCTGGTGACGTGTCGACCTTAACATCTGCTGCCCCAGACACAATTGCCTGCAGAACCTGTTCCCATTCATCTACCTCACTTTCGGTATGAAAAACAAAGAACAGCTTGACGTCGTAGCGCCAAAAGAGCACGAGGCCCACAGCTCCGGAGAGCCAGTAACGCGACACGTGTGGTGTGCTCACTCTCCCACCACGACCCCCTTGTCCTGAGATACCGTCATTGTAGACGACCTCAACAGGAGTCGTGAACACGTGCCGCCTCACACCTTTTAGGTCGTCCAAGAGAAACACCACCTTGGTAGACATTTCATTGAGGTCGCGTGGGGGCAAGTATGAACCACCCGGCTTCTGCTGTTGCTGCCGGACGGTAAGGCTTCCTCGGTTGCGTGAAGATCCCGGCGTGTAGGCGAGCTCAAGGTGCCTATCAAAGCACCAGCACCCCTCCGCCGTCGTGAACCACAGAGCCTCAGGGGGAAGCACCGATGACCGCCACTCCAGTACAGTGGCGCTGAAATGCACGGAATGTGCGGTGTCCATTGTCACAGGCGGTGGCGCTGGTCTGTCCACTGAGATTTCGCAAAACCACCCGCCCAGCTTGCTTTGAAAAAAAAAAAACACCCAAAAATAAAGAGTAGTTGGACAAAAACAAATGAAATGGAGAGTTAGCACATATTGTTGGCCGCTATATTTTCCACATTTACTCGTTTACCATCACAAACTGTACAAGAGTGAGGTACTTTCTATGCAAACTCCATGCTCTTTCCCCGAGGCTACACCAACCCGACTGCTTCTCATTGTTCGCTTCAACTCTCTTTGTCGTGGGTGTACGGGATTAGATTCAGGAAAAACCTGTCTACACATCTAGTGGGTGACAGTCGACGACTCATCGCCACTAATCCTAAAATGGATACGGGCGTCGCTGCTGCTGCTGCTGCGGATGGGACGGAATCCAGCAACATTGTAATCCAGAAGTGCGCTTATAAGGTCCTTGACGGCGTTCGACGGTGTACGTGCCTGCAGCTCACCAAGCTGCGACCGCAGCTTATCACCGTCATCTGGTCGCGCAGTTCGGTACATATGTATGATCTCCTGCACATACTGAGGATCTATGAAGGCGGGCAGGCGCAGGGAAAGCTCACCTGCACATGCATTCCACGGCCCTGCCTTGGAGAAGTACTTGCGCAACAAGATGGTATGCGGTTCGTTACTGTTAAAGGGCAGTGGGCCGGTGAGGTCACTCTCCGGGGATCTATCCAATGAGGCAGTGACAATGGTTCCTCCATTGCCACCACCAAAAGTAGTAGTCTTATCCACTTCTATCGATGCGCGATCGATTTCAACAGACCAAAGGGCTGCCATAATTCCAGGCAATGCGAGGCGTTGCTCAAACACCACACAACCTGAATCATCAAGCAGCTGTACATTCACGTTGTGCTGCCGTGCGGCACTCATCTTTGCGGTGTAATCCGATCTCCCAGTACCGGCACCACCGCTGCCGTCCACATCACAAACGATGCGAAGCCTTGGCGGACACACGAGGCGTAGGTGCGTCTCTTCCCCCACTTGTGAGACATTCGCATCCAAAAAGCACGATGAAGCAAGGGACGCCATTTGTCGTGGTGCATCCGCCTGCTCTGCACCCATCAACATGAGCTGCGTCTCGGCGCACAGTGCCCCACTCACTGGGTCGCGTGCAATGATGTGGACACGATGCGTAGAGCCTGGCGGAAACGCGTAGCCCTGTGGCACCTGTCCCCCTTGCTCCAGCTGCATGAATCCAGTGCCGTCCACATCCACGCTCAGTCTACATGGTCGCTCAGTTCGGATATTTTGAAGACAACCAACACCACATGCGAATTGTAGGGCATCAGTTTGGCCAGAAACAATGCCTTGTGCGTGCTGCCGCGCCAGCTCATTGTCGTGGTCTCGTAGCATTTGTAGCAGCAACTCAAGTAATGCCTTTTCTTCAGGTCCACTTGTAGGAACACCTGCCCAGCGGATCGGCAACGGTGGGGGTGATTGCCTGTAGTACGTGTCGACCAACGCCCTGGCAAATTCATTTCGCAATGGTTTTTCCAGCGATGAGGCGATACGCACAGAGACGCGTATGCTACTTCTACCGTTTGAAACATCCATTACGGAGCCGGGCAGCAGTTCCATGGCCCCCTGTTCATCGAGGGCGATCAGAAGGCGTGTGCCTTCGGGAGCCTCACCGGCAACAAGGCGTATCGGGCGCTGAGAGGCATCTATCAAACGACGCAAGCACCCCACCATCAGCGGGAGTAGACGATCTCCGTTCGCCGACTGTGGTGATGTCGTGTTGGCCAGCTCCGACGCCACTTTGTCCGGGCTGAGGTTATGTCGCTGGAATGTGTCAAGAAGACGGGCGATAAGCAGTTCGTCTAAGTTCTTCTCGGCCATTGGGCACTGCATACAACAGGAGGCCGCCAGAAGCCCTCTAGAGGGTGTGACCGCAGAGAGAGTCAAATTATGACCTGCGGACACCTGCACACTTTCTCCTCTACTAATAGTGCGGGGTATCGCATTGTCTACAGAAGCCGTCATGTTATATCCGGCGCATTGAACATCCATCACGGTATCGTTGCTCTTTGTGAAGGATATAGTGGGAGGCGTCTTAAATAACTGCTCTGAAACAAAACCAACGATGGAGGCTGCGTCTGGGTTTGGTGGAATGATGCTCTGCACTCCGCGACGGGCAGTGTCTTGATCTGAACTTTGCAAGGCCTTCGCAAGCTGTGTAATCCACGGCTCTGGCCCAGAGGGGATATCTATGACAGGGTGGATGGCAGTGGCTGCCTCTGATGCTCGTCGCGGCCCAATTTCGAAAGCGGCTGAAGTACCTTCTTCACGCACCACCACCACATGACGTGTGTTGGTTTCCAGAGGTACACCAATCCCACCACTAACAGGTGGAAGGCTGTCAACGCTGATCTGTGAATGAGGCGTCCCTGTGATAATTGGGTTGCCACGCACATCCTCTGCGATGCTGAAGGTCAGCGATGGTTGCTCTGTCGCTGGGACGATAGCGCTCTGGCGGAGAAACGTGCGTCCAGTCGTGTCCGTGATGGTGATGCGAACGCGGTGTTCCTTCCTGTCGGGTAGTCGAAGCTGGGCGCTGCCGTAACCCGCAACCGATGCCCCATTGTCTCCAACCAGTTCAATCATGAAGCCCTCAGCGGTGGCCACGAATGTTGGAAGTAGAACATCGTTCTGTGGGCACATAGAAATCCGCGTCTCAAGCTCCGGCACTCGCAAGACAGGGACTTCTGTCCCATCAGGTTCAGCATAGGAGGCTGTAAAAGCCCCAGCAGGCATATGCGTCTTCGTCAAGGGAGCACGAGGCAGTTGGAAGGTGAAGGGGCCGCTCTCCGCTGACACCGAGACGGGACGGTTGGGGGTGAGATGTACGGACTCGCCACTGCCGCTGCAGAAGAGTACAGCGTTGTCATGGGCACCTGCGGTAGACTGCACCAGAATGGTAGCAGGCGCTGATGGTGCGATAGATGCAGCATGAAGAGTGGGGTATAGTGAATGTGGCTTCTCCGCAATCTCGACAGAGCACTCCTTCGCCTGAATTGGAATGGCGTACGACCCTCCGCCGTCGGGGTAAATGCGCTGTCCGTCCACTTTCAGAACAATACTTTCTGCAAGCCGAGGATCCGCTGGCGCACGAAGCCGCAGTACACTCTTTCCCTCACTCCCGCTCAGCACCATCTTGCAGTAATGNTTTCTGCAAGCCGAGGATCCGCTGGCGCACGAAGCCGCAGTACACTCTTTCCCTCACTCCCGCTCAGCACCATCTTGCAGTAATGCTTTACGCCCTCGCCCCGCACCAGAGCGGTGAGGTGGTACTCATGGCCGTCTCCCGGTACTGGCACGGTGCCACAGCCGGTGGGGAACGTCACAGCCTTAGACGGACCGTTGTCCACACCGAGCTCGCACTGCAGTGTCTGCCCTTTCGATGGTTGAAGCTTCTCAATAGCGAGGTTAGAGCCCGTTATGCGGAGTGTTAGGGCGGTGGAACCCCGCCGACTCACCCCGCCGTGGCCGTGATTGAGCGGCGGATCCATTCTATATTCACCCCGGAAGGGGTATCCCGCGTCGTTCATGTTGCACCCAGCGGGAGGGAACCGTGGCCGCACTGGCATCGCCGAAGGAGGTATTCTGCGCTGGCGGAGTTTACCTCTTCGCA